AGATAGAGATTATATTATCATAATATCAAATTCAACTATTACGAACTTTTCTACTTATTTTTTCTTACAGCTTAATTTTAATTTGAGTTGCAGGAGATTTCTGGATAAGAAAGAGGCTGTGGAACCCGAGGCAGACCCAGAAAGGGATCAGAGATCTGTTTTTGCTTACCAGGTTGATTGGATGCTCTTTTTTGTTTGTTTTGAATATTATTAATGTCTATAACATATTTGGATATTTGGTGTCTTTTTTTTTATGATTGCCTAATTTGCTATGTGGTGATCACAGATGCCTCTAAAAGCAACAGAGAGAGATGTATATGAGTTCTTCTCAAAAGCTGGCAAGGTCAGTTGCTTTAAATTTTGATGTACTTTTGGCATTGGAACTGAGATGACTTCTGTTTCCATTGAACTGCAATGACTTCTATTTCCATGAAAACTGTTAGTATTATTTTATACTTTAGTGTATTTATGCTTCTCTTCTCAATTGTGATAAGAAGCATAGTAAATGCATTTTATTCTGAGATGAAGTTGTGGGATGAAGTTGAGGTCTTTGGGTTTACTTTTGTATCATTGTATATCACACTTCTTAAATATTCAAGGTGAGGAAGGAAAAGCTCTACAGCTAAGTATCAGTGATATAATGTCCCTTAAATTAATTTGATTAATGTAGTCAACTTTTAGTTATATTGTATGTTTTTTTGTTATATGTTGTATGATGCATTGATTGCTTTTTTTTTTCTCTTACTACACAAGATGATGTTATCAATAGGCCAGCTTTTTTCATTTGATTCCCCAATGAAATGTAGAGGAATCGTTTTAAGAAGAGCCTATGAAGATATATTAGCGTTTTTGAAGTTGAAGAGAAAAGACCAAGTGCAAACTGTCTTCAATGATTTTGATCCTCAGCATACTGAGCACAATGGTCATTTTGATCATATGAGCCTCCTTCCACTGGTTCCTTATGAGGATCCCTATGCTCCTCCAATTCCAGATTCTCCAGTAGCAGATTCTGCTACTATTGGAATTAAAGCTAATATGTTAGCTAATTTTGAAGTTAATGGAGAACAAGTGGATTACAAAAAGATGGAATTAGGAGATATGGTGTATGTTCCTTGGCTAGAAGAAGTTTTCCATATTCATCCTACATTAATAGAGTGCCAAAGGAACAAGACTCCCAAGTATGCAGGTTGGGCTTTTACAGCACTTGGCAAGACACCTTATTCAATGCCCAGCTGTCCCACTGAGCTGTTTCATGTCAGACTTTAATGATGATGATTTCTAAATTTAAATTGAGAGGCTCTTTTTAAATTTCAAATTCAAACTGATCATGAATTCTACATTGGAATGATCAGCTCTTTTAAAACAAGATATGATTTCTATTTAAAAATTCAAAATATGATTTCGATTTTGTTTTTGAAATTTCATTTTTTAAATATTTCAATTTAATTTTTTAAATTCAAATATATATATATATATATATATATATATATATATATATATTTGAAAATTCAATGTTGAAAACTTTACTGATGTGTCACTCCCTGCTTAATTCGAAAAATTGTGTTCACACTACATGGCATATAAAAACTTTCTTTTAAAAATCGAATTTTATTTTTTAAATCAAAAAATAAATGATCATTTGTGGTGGCAGACAAGTTATTGAATGTCTCACTGCCCATCAGATTGGAATTGGTCAGCTGATTTAATTGCTTTTTACATTGGAATTTTGAAATTCGAATTTTGATTGCTCATTTAATTGGAATGACTTATCTAATCTAAAATTCGAATTTTGAAATGGAATGACTCAGCTGTTTTAATTGCTCATTTGATATAAAAATTCAAATTTTGAAATGGAATGACTCAGCTGTTTTAATTGCTTTTTACATTGGAATTGCTCATCTGATCTAAAAATTGAATTTTGAAATGGTTTCAAATTTTGAATTTAAAATATGGATGGTCGGAAAAGATTTGGAGAGTTTTGGGTGGGGGGAATTTTTATGTAAATGTCAACTCTAATACGGCATTTGAATTTTTACAAAAATTGGACAATCACCAACTGTAAGTAACAATAAAAGGAATGATAAATTAAAATTCTCTGTAAATGTCATAAATTATACAGTGAAAGAAATTTTAAAAGACTGTTTAAAGAATCAGACATAACAACACACCATGCCATTTACTAATCAATCAATTTCTTACCAAAACACAATTAAAATTTAAAAGAGAAAATGATAGATTAAACAAAAAAAATGTTTCAAATTATAAAAATTTAAATATAGTTGATACAAAATAATTTAAATTTGGAAATTAAATGAAAAAAACAGAAATGACATATTTATACTTCAAAAGAAAATAAATTAAAAATTTAACTTACAAAATAATTCAATAAAAGAAAAAATTTTGTATGAGTATTTTTTAAAAAAAATTAATATAAACGTTTTTAATTTATATATATAACAAATTTTAAAAATATAAAATTTTAAATTAAAAGAGAAAAAACTTAAAAAAAGGTATAATTAATATAAAAGAATTTAAAATTTAAAATTTAATAAAAAACTAAAAAATTACATCTATGATTCTGTAAAAATAAATTATTAAAATTTAATGCACATATTTCGATTTTCTTCTCATTCGTCACTCTTTTGAAATTCGAATTCTGAATTGATTTCAAATTTTGGATTTCAATTTTAAATTTCAAATTGTAATGGTGGGAAAGGATTTGCAAATAAAAAATTAAATAAATAATAATTTCTATTAAGAATCGAACTAAAAAATTAATGAAAAATTAAGTTAATTATTTATGGTGACAGACAACCCATTCAATGTCCAACTATTTTTTGCATAGATATTTGTTGACCCTATTAATGCTGCATAAAAAAACAAAAACATTAAAAAAATTGTAAAATAACAAAATTATTTATATTGTAAAATAAATTCAAAATATGGAAATAAATTAAATAAAAAATTGTTATTTTAATTTTTGTAAATATAAATTTGTGAAATTCCAAATATTAACGACACTAATACTTGCAAACAATAATTATTTATATAAAATATTGACAGTTAGAGGTGGAAAACTGGGCTCGGCCCGGAGGGCCGGTCTGCCAATATATTTTTATAATTCAATTGAAATTTTATCCTTCTTCTTTTATAATTAAATTACTAAATCTGATTTTTATTTTTGTAAATACAAATTTGTGAAATTTCAAAGGCTAACGATACTAATCCTTGCAAAAAATAATTATTTATATAAAATGCTGACAATTAGAGGTGAAAAACTTACCTCGGCCCGGAGGGCCGGCCCGCCAATTTTATAATTCAACTGAAATTTTATCCTTCTTCTTTTATAATTAAATTACTAAATCTGATTTTAATTTTTGTAAATACAAATTTATGAAATTCCAAAGACTAACGACACAAATCCTTGCAAAAATAATAATAATTTATTATTATTTTATAAATCTGATTGTAGTAAATGAAAGTTCATTTCTGAGATAAAATATAAAAACCTAGAATGACGATGAGTCCATCAAGTTACAAATTTCCTATAAATTTCCAAAGAAGACAATTCCCCCTGATTGTTTCATTTGCCATGACTATCGATAAGAGCCAAGGACAATCTCTTTCTCATGTTACGATTTATCTCCCCAAGCCTGTCTTCACTCATTGGCAGTTATATGTGACACTGTCTAGAGTAAAGAGCAAGCATGGATTAAATATATTGATACTTAATGAAAACAGTTGTGTTACAAATAGTACCCTTAATATAATTTATAAGGAAGTATTTCAAAGATTAATGTCGTGAATTTCCTTCTGTCTACTATGAGATAACATCACTCCTTGGTACAGTTAAAGACAAAAAAAATGGCAATGAAGTGCTTTTTTATTTATATTCGTTAACATTAGGTTTTTTTAACTGCTACTTTTTTTTTCTTATGCAGGAATCGCTTTTCATGCACACATGGTATATTGTTAACTGCTATTTTTGAATAAACAATATTTCATGGTCATCAATATATGGATGTATAGTTATAACACTTTTTATTTGTACTCACATGTTCATGTGTTTTTTTTTTTCATACTTTCATTTGTAGATTATTACTAATTCATTTCTAAGAGGATGAAGGATCACAAATGTAGGTTCGGCATCTTGCATGTGTTGCGTTAGTTTTTACGAGACAAACAAATTGATTTTTTTTCCTCCGTGCAACGCACGGGTAATACACTAGTGTATTCAGAGGCGGAGCCAAAGCCAAGCCACCAGGTGGTGCCTTGGCACCTGCTTGTTTTTTTTTTACTTATTATATAATTAATTATAAATAACTGAGTTAAAAAATATAATTTGGCACCACCTAATCAAATAGAACATCAAATACTCAATACAAAGTAACAACAAATCATCTAAGTGCAAACAAATAATAAGGAACATGTATAATATGGTTATTTTTGTGTTTTACCTTTTTTATTTTTTATCTTGTATATTTATTTTTTTATTGTTTTATTCTAATCAGTTATGTTAATTATTCTTACTACTATTATTTTAAAAAAGAAAGACTTCTAAACTTAATCACAAAAATGATTAGTTAACTTATTTCAAAATTTGGGTCCAACTAAATCAAATAAACCCATTTAAAAGTAGGAAAAAGGGTTTGACTTTTTAAAGGACACGAGATTGTATCCATTTAGTTTTTGACACTATATTTTACCGGTAAAACATAGTTATAATATGAAAAATAACTTCTTTTTTTCCTATTTTCTCAGTCACTTCAGCTGACTTGGAGAGAGAGAAAATATAATTTTTCATGTTATAACTATGTCTTACCGGTAAGACATAATGTTAAAAACTAAAAAGACACAATTTGTATCCTTTAAAAGGACAAACACTTAACACTTGAAAGTAACAATCATGAAACCAAATGAATAACATGACTATAATTATGGAATACGAGGTACATTGAACTATTGTGTTTTGGATTATTGCACACACAAAGAATAGTCAAAAACCTAATTTCCAAATGTGAGAACTTTTCATCGTGCTTATGGCTGTTGCAAACAAATGCGATGTTCTCTAACGTGAGATATTGAAAATTTAAGGAATAAAGATAATGAAAAGAAGACGAAAGACAATGCTTATTATACATATAATTGTTATATTTGTGTATTTTCATATCCTTAGGATAATGTTTGGTTCATTACTTATTATATTGTGGGAGGAAAGTAAAATTCTTATGTTTGAAATGTTTACCGAAAAAGTTAATGCATTTTTATATGTTTGCTTTGATATATAATCAACAATAATTGTTCATTTAAATTTTTAATATCATGTGACATTATTTAGTACATAATTTAGATAATTATGTTAGAATTTATAGTAAATTTTTTTCCTGATAAATTTGTGTAATTATCATAAATATTTTGATAATTTAATATGTCACATTTTTTGGCACCGTCTAAATTTTTGGGCCGACTCCACCACTAATGTATTTTTAAAAATATATAATGTAATTTACAAAAATTTATAAACGGATTCTTTCTTGTATTAAAAATATCATGTAAGTCTAGTTGCACGATCAATCAATTAATTAATTATGATGAGAAAGTTGAAAAGATTAATGTTTTTCATATATACCCTTATGGCCTATATAAGTATAAAAAAATAATTGTATTAAAAATAAGTATAAAAAAAATATGAATATATATATATATAGAAAAACATTTCTCAAATTGCTTGAGACAATGTTCTCGTAAAAAAAAATTTAATGTCTCGGGTAAGATAATTTTTTTTTTGACAGATATGATTATTTGATAGTCGTATACCACACATCTTACAGATTAAGAGTATAAACTTGATGTTCTAACAAAAGCAATAATATGTTAGTGGGTAGATTTTCATAGTTTTAGAGAGAAGCATTATAATAAAGTGTTGTTTTATTTTGTTTATATATTGTTATAACGGATAATTATTATTTTAAATTTATATTTTATCAATTATGGGGAATGAGTATTAAAAATAAGGATAAGATAATATTTAAATTATATAAGTAACTTCTGTTTCTATCTTATTATTAGTTGTTTACTTGTTTGTAATCTTGTATTTGTTTGTCTATATGAAGACGTCTTTCCCATAATGAAAACAATTTTAATTTTATAGAATTTTTAATATATATTTGAATTCGTAAAATGGAATAAAAAAATATTTATCATCTTCAAAAATATAATTTTATACATATTTGCTTGGGACTAGAATACAAAAGAATTATAAGATATTTTTAAAATAATAAATATAATTTGTTTAATAACCAATTATTGGATTTTTAAAAATAATAATAATAATGACTAGTTAGTTATTAGTATTGATTGATAATTAATAATTTAATAATTTAACATTATTTTATAAAAAGGAGAATAAAACTTTTTTGTAATTAAAAACATAAAAAAGAATAGGCCAATCAAATTGCACCACGTGGCACAGTATAGTTTGCTCATTCCTTCTTCTTTTTTTGGTAAACCATTCCCCTTTTTTAACCAACAACAAAAGAAACAAAAATGTGTCAAGTGGGTAGGGTGCGCCATTGCTATTGATAAATAATTGTTTCAAGCATAGGGACGAATTAAAATTTTGATCTTGCATAAGAAATGATGGAAATTTAATTATAATTCACTACTGATACACTCGGCTAAAAATGATTACCCAATTAATTTTGTGAAAATATTAATAAATTTTTATTAAGTATTAACTTATCCCTAAAAATTAAAATAAAAAGTAATTATACAAAGAAAAATTAAATTGTGTAGATTACATTTCAACTTTATAAATTATTTTTGCTACGTCATTTTTTTAGAAAATATTTATGGGTTAATCAATTTTAGTTTGAGTTATTTTTTTATTTTTATTTTTTGAAAATAGAACTTTATTTAAAAAAAATTATTTGATTAAATTTAGAAACCTCTAACTATGAAGTTATCATAACTGTAATGACCCTATATAAAAATTACAGAGTTTATAAGCCGTCACAGGCTCATAGCTAAATTACCTATTTTTATTTAAATAAATAGTATAAAATATATAATAAATTTAAAGAAATTTGAATGATTAAGCTATCATATATAAAATAAGCAATAAGGTTAACTAGCTGTTAGGACTATTAACTATCACCAAAGAGCATAAATTGTTAGTAATTAGAATAAGGGACTGTCACATGACACTACAAACAGTCTTTTTATTGGAATAATTTAATAAATTTGCGAGTCTTTAAAATTCAGCTATTGAAGAAAGAAACAGGGATATCATTTGCTAGTTGAATTCTAATGCAGATTCATTAAACAAACACAAGTAAAACCTTGCCAACTATGGAAGGAGAAATGGTATTTGAGCTCTAAATTCTCATTATGTCCAGTTTTGAAAACTAAAGCTATTAGCATAATGTTACTTAGCTATGCCATTCTTTTATGGGTTACTCATTTCTGCCGTGCTGATGAAAAAACTTGTAGCAAATATATTATAGTAAGATACGGGCAGGATCTTGAAATTAACACACACAAAAAAAAGGATACGGAACCAGATTCTGGTGGAAGTAAGTGTTACTGCAAATTTTCTGATCTGCAACAACTGGAGAGCTATTAAAACCTTCTTTTATTATTGACAATTTGTCCATTTAATGTTTTATCAGAAAATTTTAAAGTGGGGCTATATTAACTCACATTGAACCACTTATACATAGTGTGATTAGTATTACTCAAATCATATCAGTGTTAATAATTATGGTCATTTCTATCTTCTATCTAAGGTTACATTTTATTATTTGACCAAGATGATAACTGATTCACAAGAGTTATATAGTATAGGATTCCCAAATATATATCTTTTGCTTGAAGGAAAGTAAGATGGCACTCAAAACAAGTAGATTACTTCCCTATTCAGTCTCCACTCTGACTTGCCCATTATCTGACTTTGAATATAAGATAGCAAGTGCCTTTTGAGAAAAGCAAAGGTTCTAATTTCTAAAGTATCCATTGGCAAACAATATAAAACCTCATCATAATCCATCATCAAGTAGGTGTTCATTGTGGACATGCAATATCAGATTAATTACAGATTTACTGCTATAACTTGAGTGCCACTGATCAGTGGCTCTCCAAGGTATCTCCAAATGCACATCCAAAATTTCTATTAAAGAAACAGTTTCTCATAAAGGCAGGAGCTACTGGGACTGAGTCTCTCTCTCTTTACTGCTTTTAGAAGTCAAGAGAAAACCAGTTGTTGAGATGGATAGAAAGAATATTGAAGTGAAAGCAAAACAAGCCTCTACCAGTAGTTGGAGAAAGTTTTGAGGAAGCATATGAGCCTAGTTAGTTTGCAACAAGAGAGAGAGACCAAGTGCAGAAAATGAAGAACCTAGGAAGTATTGGAAGCAGTGGGAGGCTATCAGCAGAAGAGCATGAGGATGAGGAGATTTCAAAATTGGCCATTTCCACATTTCAAGCTAAGGAAGAAGAGATTGAGAGGAAAAAGATGGAGGTGAGAGAGAAAGTTGAACTTCAACTTGGACGTGCTGAAGAAGAGACAAGGCGCTTGGCACACATTTGGGAAGTAAGTTCCATGACAAGGAGAACCATTTGTGATTTTATACAGAGATACAGCAGAAAGCTTCAGTCCTTGAAGTTAAATTCTAACACAGTTTTGCTAACCATTAATGTTATATGTTGTTTTTGTCATATAATCTACTAGGAGCTTCAAGTCTTGGAAGATCCTATGAGGAAGGAAGTTGCAATGATACGCAAGAAGATTGACTTGGCCAACAAAGATTTAAAGCCACTAGGACTTAACTACCAGAAAAAGGTAAAATGCTTGTGACCATTAGAGGTTACACAGGAAAGAATAATATCCAACTAACACTTACTTGAGAAAAATTTAATCATGAACCTTTGAACACACAATAATGGTAGACAAAAGTGTTAAAAATGGAGAGGCTTTATCTTCTTTTTCTTGGAACTACTTAGTTAATATATGACAAAACAGCAAGAGTAAAAACTAACCTTTGAAATTTACTTATAGGAGAAAGAGTATAAAGAAGCCTTGGAAGCTTTCAACGAAAAGAACAAAGAGAAGGCTCATCTGGTAGCCACACTAATTGAGGTATAATACTCGACAGTTATGACTTCCATGTCTTGATTTCTAGAAAAAAGCTACAAGCTCTTTCAATGTTGTGTTATCGTTTTCAACTGTCTTTGTAACCATGAATCTCTTTTCATATTTTCCATTTTATTAATAGCTGCTGACTGAGAGTGAAAGACTGAGGATGAATAAACTGGAGGAGCTATGCAAGACCATAGAGTCTATGTCACTGAAACAATAATCTGTGTGTGTGTGTGTGTGCATGCTGTGTTTACTAGCTTGGTTTATTCAACTTTCAGTGGCTTGTATTTAAATGTACTTACATTTTCATTATTCAAAAGGCCTTGTATATGGACACATAAAAATAAAATAAAAAGAAAAATGCACAAAATTTCCACATTTGATCAATTGAAAAGAAAGAGGCAGCCAAACATTGCTAGTATTTTATCCAAATCTTCCATTAAAATTTAAAATCAACAAGTTATGTCCATGAATCTACCAAAGGTAGAGTAAGTATGATGGGTTCTTCAATAGAATCATAATTCCATAGCATCAATACTTTTAATCGTATTTTGCTGAATGGAATGTCTAATAACCAAGCAAATTTACATGTTTCTTTTGGGGGTAAAACAGATTTACATATTTTACTTTGCAGACAATCTGTATATAGCTAGAACACTTCTAGTCATGCAAAGAATTTTTTTTTTTTCTTTTGGCCAAAAAACTACTTTTAAATTCTTAGAAGGTTTTTAAGACCCATGGGCACATAATGAATGATAATACAACTATGCCTCCCAAAATCTATTCCCATTTTTTTTTTTTCCCGTTTTGGTCTTAACCGATTCCGTTCTGAAGCCATAACTAAATCCCAAGCACTTGAAATGTTATCAAGGTAAGGGGCAGTAATAAATAATATGTACTCACAACTTTTCTCTCTCTCTTTCGAATAAATCTAATTAACAATACACACATCTCAATAATTTACTGTCATCCAAATATCGAAATACTTCTAGTGGCAAATTCCTAATTCAAGCAGAGAAAAATTCTTGAATAGATATTCAAATCATTATTTGATATATGTGTAGTTATGTAAGCCATGTTTAAAATACACTTATTCTATCTACTAAAAAAAAATACACTTTTTCTTAAAAATTGCCTTTATACATTTTACATGTTAAATGATTATTGAATGCAGATTGCAGATAACACTTTAGACATCCTAATAACATAATTTTTAATAGGACGGAGAGAAAGAACAAGGAGAGAGAGGAGAAAACAAACAAACTTTTGTACCTAGAACATTTTACACTCCATATAAGCCATGTTTAAAAAACTTAAAGTATCGACACTCTGACACACTATAACATTTATAATATTTGAAATTTCATTATATATCATAAAAAATTGATCGATATTTTACCAAATTGATATAACAAAAATTAAAAATAAATACCAAATAAATCCTATTGGAGTGTATAAGAGATTTTCAATTTGAAATTATAATAGTAAATATTTACGGTTCATGTTTCTTTGCAAAATTAATGGATATTATAAATTTAATTTTTTTTTGTTAAATTATTGAATATTAAATATAAGAATAAATACTCTTTTTGGTTCCTAACAAAAAACTCGGTCCCCACTTTAGTCTCTTACAAAAATAAATTAGTCAGTTAGTCCCTAACAAATTCAAAGTGGACTCATTTAGTTGAAATCGTGATCCCTCACAAATTCAAGAAAAACCCATATTAGTCCCTCAAAAGGACTAAAATGGGTCCACTTTGAATATGTTAAAGACTAACTGACTAATTTATTTTTGTAAAGGACTAAAGTGAAGACTGTGTTTTTTGTTAGGGACCCAAAAGAGTATTTACTCTAAATATAATATACACTACATAAATTAAAAATATTATTAAATATCAAAACATGTCCTAACGTGTCAAAATCTAACATTTTTTAGAATTAACGTGTCATTATGTCATGTTCCATGTCCCATGTTGGTGCCGGTGCAACATGGTTGAACACATTTGTCAATGTTCTATGTTGAAAATAGAAAAGCTACATTTCAGGATATTTAAGGATCGATGCTCATAACAATTGTAAAGTATACCAAAACTTCACAGTGAATCATGAATACTTTTAACTTGGGGGCCGTGTTTTGCATTTCATATAAATTAGAAAATACTCATCATGCAATTCTTTTGTTCCTTGTCTCTAGGAAAAGATAAAAAAAAAATCATTTTCATCAAACGAATGTTCATACAGGTAGCTGTTTGTACTCCGCCAAAAGTTTTGGAATATCATCCATGCGCAACTGCATTAGAATTAACGGGAGACAATGAGAAAATAAAACGGTAAAGTATTTAAACATCAAAAAGAAGTGTGAGACAAATGATATAATGGCGTACAAAGATAAGTATTCCATTTGATCTATATGATAAAATGATAGGGCCATTTTTTATTGAGTCTTAATTCCAAGCAATTCCACCACCAGATTAACAAATTAACTAATTTTGCATAACAGGAGTGTATCATTTGAAAGCTATTAATTACCTGAGAACAAGAATTATTGTAAAGAACTAATTCAATCCAAAAACTTGTTATTAGGTAAGGTTACATTAATGATTTTATATTTCTCCAACCTACCTGTACTAAAACACTTCATAATATTTAATTATTTTTTAATAGAATGGGGACAAACTCATGACCAATTACTCATGTCATCTCTAATACTATGTAAAGAACCAATTCAACCCAAACTTAAAGTTCTACATAATTTGGTGTGGGCACACATCTGTTTTCCTAAATTGCTTAGTTGTAGGAATGACAAATTCTTCTAAAACAAAGTGCTACCTCCTTATGTTAAGATACACAAGTGGCTTCTTTGCTTACCACTAAGAAGCCCTTCCTGCATCTATGGACCAGGCATGTATTACATCTTTCCTTAGTTAGGAAATGGCAACCTGACTATACAAAATATAGGTCAAAAAAGTGAAAAACAATCAAGCGATTTGCCAATATGAACTAGAGTTTCCGTACCCTGTCCCTGTGTTTTAATTTTAATTCTAATACTATGTAAGGCTGATATTTTCAGTAGTGTGTCTCTGTGTGTAATAGATAAAATGCATTCAGGGCCTTTCAATTACAACCCTTACGCATACAAATCTAGTTTCAATATTTTCAATTAAACTCCCTCTGTTTTAGTGACCCTTATAGCCCTTAGCCACTCTCCATCTACATGGACAGCTGAGACTTTGCCACTTAGTAATTTTAGGGGGTAATTAATGTATGTTAGGGAAAAAGTTACTGTCTTTGCATATCTCACTAGAAAACTACAACATCTACATATAACTAGAGTAAGTTTAAAAAGTAATTAGCCGGTCATGATGTACGTTAATCAATTTCAGACTTGATCAAATCTAACTAAAGTGTCTGCAACAATGTACACGAAGAATGCAATACCAGACAACATAATGTGCCTTTAGTTTCAATTTTCCCAAAGAATTAACAATGACCGTATAAAATATTTTCATAGGTACTCAGAATATCACTGATGAAACATAATGCAATAAATTCTTCTTATTTCAAAATGAAAAAGCATATCCAAGGAGAAACAAAAGCACAAGTAAAAGTTGATATCCATTTAACCCCAAAAAGCATACCTGAGAAACATTTTTGACATGGTAAAATTGATGCACCACAAGTTCACCAAATCCAGGTTGCTGATCAGATGTACTCCTTTCTCTATTTAAGTTAGAAATATAAGCAAACATAATCAAACCTATTTATCAGTCAACTTCAAAAAGCAAACTGCTGGAAAATATGTTAATAATGTACATAGGCCAACCAAATCTTGTAATGACAGTAATTAGGATATTTGTGATTCTTGTAATAATTAAATCAACTCTATAAAATAGAGCCTCTGTTGTGTAATTCAAACAAATGGATTTTCCCATATGACTCTCGTTTTCTCTTCCTTTTAACATGGTATCTAGAGCTTGATGAGAGGCAACACTTATCCATGGGTGTGGACCCACTGCTCACTGGTGAAAATTTTCTCAATTTATTTCAATTCCTTCCTACTAAAAAAATTGTCATCTCTTCTATAATTAGTTGACATCTATCATAGGGTTCAAAACCACCTCCTAAGATCTCCAAGTTCCACTCCCTTCAAAGATTAGCTTAACGAGCTAACAAAGATTGCCAAAGGCCAACGGATCTGTAAATTTTAGAAAATACTACCCACTAACTCTGATGCAAATGTATCAGGTAGCAAATTAGGCCAATAGGAAGGTGACATTAGATTGTATGTGATCAATGCATGTGTGTACCAATACCCAAAAGAAAAATAGAAATAAATAAACATACATGCAAAACTATAAGCTGACAAAAACTTTGCTGACAATAGGAGGTTCATCGAGTTTAACAATTACAAACTTTACAAGCCTTGTAAACACTATAGGGAAGAACAGTAAAAAAAGAATTGTATAAAAATGCAGTTCTTACACATGGCACCGGTGAATTAGACGCTGGTAATCCCGAAGCAACGGTCCAAGCTCTTTGAGTTTCACCATATTTGACTCAGACTTCTTCCAGTGTTCACGAAGTGCTTCAATTGCCTTGTTGGGAAACAAAATACTGTTTCATTTAAAATTACTACTATGATACGGACACAAAAATGTTTTACATAAGTATAGGAATGTTTTACTTTACCAGTGAATTTGTAGAAACTTTTTCTCCTGCTAACTTTGATGCTAATTCAAGAAACTCTTGATCTTCCAACTCATTTACAATCGGAAGCCTGGAAATGGACAGTGAAACTGATATTTGCAATCTTCTCTGCAATTCTGAAAAAGGAAATTTCTCTGTTTGGTTTTCCTGACAAAGATGTCAGCAGTAAATCAATCAAAGATAATATAATGTGCTCAAATTTATCTTAGAATAAACAAATGAAATTCAAGATTGCCAAGATGAGGCATCATACAGAGATAGAACTGGGCTAAGCATCGAAGTACCATTTTTTTTCTTTTCTTTTTGGGTTGCAAGTGAGGACATAAAACTTGGAGAGGGGATGGGAAAAGGTGGGCTAAAAGTATATACTGAGAATTACTGGGGACCAAACCCAATATAGCTTCCAAACTCATATAGCTGCAGGGCCATTGGCAAAAAGAATAACTTAGCATATGAGCAAATAAGGAGTGCCAAAAAGCACACACCTCACTTAAAAAGGCTTTAACATTAGAAAAAGAAGAAAAAAAATAAAAAATTTGACCATTTTGAATCAATTTTCCATTAAAAAATTAACTACTCATGCATAACACTCACAGTAAAAATAAAATGTTAAAGCGCTAAGTGATAAACATGATAATAAGCTATAAAGATAGAAGATCACAACTAAAACGCTAGAGGCATGTGCCTCATCATAGGGTAGTGCCTCAACCAGAAAGAGGTATTGACCCCCTATGTTGCTTTGCCTCAGGCCTTAGTCATGCCTTTTGACGCATTGTGCTCTTTTAGCAAAAGTCTGATGTATTTGATTAGAACATAATTCCAGGATTATTTAGCACTAAGTTTTCTCCTCCACAACTTCTATTTGATAGGCTTGTCTTCTTAGCCTCATTATGGGTTCCTGCTCAAGGATTTTTTTAAGGGTGTTCAAGATCAGATTTGCAAAGGACTGGGTTGCTCTGAGTTGATGTATTTTCTCTTGTCTTTCTTTCCTCTATTTTTTAACTGTAGCTTTAGGAGGATTCCGGATCTTGTTGTTTTATTCTCTCCTTAACGATTTTAAACTTGTTAGAAAATATAAATAAGAAAAGATTGTGATTTGAAAAAATATGTTAAATGATAACCACTTTAAAGATTAAAAAACAAAAAGATAAGAAATGAAAAGTGTTGACACTTGTCACATTAGCAAAATTATGCATTTAGTAACCCAGAGCAGTAAGTGTTAACTATAACAATTCTCCATTATATTTCAACAAAAATACTTAGAATTACATCTACTAGTATTTTTTATTTAAACTAAATTTTGAATATCCCCTTCAAATTAAAAGCAGTATCAAGAAAAAAAAGAAGTACTAAGGAGATAAGGCACGCTTTTTTCGATGTGCAATCCAAGGGTGCTGTCAGAACAAGTGTAACCAATACCTTGAATTGAGGTTGAAAATCATCATTGAGTGACGCAGCATCCTTACTTTCCGGAATATTTCTGGGTGGAGATGCAGTTAATCTATTTGCAATTGGGTCCTCTGCAGAACATGCAAAAGAAGTGAGAGGAATTTAGGATGTCTTTTTGAGCCTCTACGACAGTTCAGTTCTTTTAATACTTTTCATATAATCTTGGAGGGTTTCTGCTTCTTTATTGAAAATATTCTCCATTAACAAAAGTATTTATTAAAAAGAGTAATCTAGATTCAGTATTTTAAATTAAAGCACAAGACAAATTAGAAAGTTCCAAGAGTAGGATATCCCTTCCAGTCAACTATAAAACAATACTCCCAGCAAGTGTGCTCATGCAGAAGATGCAATAAATTGAATATATAGAGAAACAACATATTTCGTGCAGCAACACATTATTGTTTGACAGAGAATCTTGTCTGAGAAGAAGTCATCGCAAAACAAAAAACAGTTAATTACCCTCATTTGCACACTTTATCAGTTAAAATACCTGATGTTAAAATGAGAATTTAACAAGAAAAACAAATAACTTTGTATACATTGAAAGAACAATGAATACCTTGAGAGACTAACCACCATGGATCACCATAAGTTGATTTCCCATCAAAGCCACCAATTAGCAGATACCGTGAACCAATAACCGTCATAGAGTGGTATGCTCGAGCAGGAGGGGGTTCATTGCCTATCAACAGTCGCTTCCACTGTGCTGAAACTATATCCAACAGAAGAACAAAAAATTAACCCAAGCCAACAATTCAAGTAATTGAACTTACTATTAGCAACTTCCTCCAGTAAGAACTTTGATTTTGTGCATGACGTTGTCATAATTTGAATCAAAAGGGAGGCTACTATATATGTTTGTCTAAAAAATCATGCATCCGAATATCATACTTTACAAACTTACCTCTTCAGCAAAAATTAAAGCAAAATGTAACATACACTACATTTTTTATTCAAGGACAAGATTGTGCATCATTAGCTCATTTGCCTCTTTCTAAAATAAAGTAACTAATCCAAGCTCGAAATATAAATTACTCATCTTGAACCTGAAAATAAAATCAAGGTTCCAAGAACAATAAAGTGTAAGTTTGTTACTACCCAACACATGAAGATTCACGAAGCTCACATCAAGAAAGTAACTCTTTTCTCTCCCCATACAATATCTTTGTACAATTTATATGAGATTTTAAAGCTAATTATAGCCAAAAAAAATCTTAAAAATAAGAAAAAAATTCTTATAAATTATAGGATGCTAAGTTCATGAGATGAAAGCCAGATATTTGTTATTTTGGATAAATTTTAATCTTAATGTTACCAAACAATATTAAAAAATAGTATAAATAAGTAAATAAAATAAAAACATCAAAGCTGCAGCTAATAACCCTCCTTGGATACTACAGGTTAACTCAACAGAAAACCAAAGACTTCTGATTCCTGAAACCAGAATCTCTGAATTTCGAGCCACAGAAAAAAGAAAATAGCAAGAGATTCCCTTCATGCAACTAACACACACCATCCATTTTCCCCCTCAAAACATTTAGTAGAATCCCAGACAATATTGTGTGAGTAATGTATGTGCAATGATAATAGACATTATTAACAAGTCAGCTTTAAATGGAATAGATTAACAGAGGAACAACAATTATAATGGTTCTTAAAATAATAATTGTGATGGATACACCTACCATCATTCCAAATAAGTAGAGTGAAAGTTCTCACCTCTATCTAATATAATACAATCATTATAATATATGTCATAACGACTCAACCATCCACCAGTCCCATGCCCTCCAAACATCAACAACTGCAAAATCTCCACCAACAGAAACAAAAGAAATATATAAATGAGCATTTTAAGTTAAAGCAGTAACTTTATACAATCATATGGAAGGATTAACAAGTATTGAAGGCCTCAGGAGAGAAAGGGAGAACCGCCACAAAATCCGAAATTATATGATGACAGCAACCATAATAGTAATATTGTAATTATATTTCCAGTATATGGTTTTATTATCTAATCCTGTCATATTATCAACCACCAACCACCTTTTGACTAATTACAGCTTCTTCACATCTTTCCTTCTAAATAAATGAGATTCAGATGAGGAATAGATCAGAACAAGTACCATCACCAAACGGCAAACCCTCCCAAAACCAAATACGAACATCATCACCTGCTCTCAATCTTAAAAAGGAAGGAAAGAGGTATGTGCATGAAAAATGAAAGATGAGTACCAGCTTGGATAAGATAAATCTCAACCTAGATGTCTGAACAACTCTAGTGAAGGTCAGGATCATGTGCCAAGGGTAAAACAGCTGAAGAGAAAACGAAACAGACAACCAATTATTTGCAAGCGCAAAGCTTTTAGACACCAAATTCCCATGACTCAGGCCCCTCACAATCTAGCCTTATAACAAGACCAATAGATAGTCCAATTAACAGGGGTAGACAAAGACCAAAGATAACTCTAGTAGAAATCATAATGAAAGACTGACTCTGAATGGTTTTATCGAAAATATGGTTTTTGATAGCCTAATGGCATCAATTGATGCACAACCATCCACCAACCTCACAAGTCACAACTGGCTAAATGATCCCTTTTACTCATCAACCCACATATAGTTTGTCCTATATCAACATATGTTTAACATACACATAATAGCCAACTTTTTAATACCTAACCAACCAAAAAAAAAAAAAACAGAATAATGACAATGAGACATTGTAGACCATTCTACCACAAGATAAGGTTGGAACAATATAAAAATCCATATCTGACAGTAAAATCAATCTACAAAAGTAGCAAAACTAGAAAGAGAATTAAGGATTGTGCAAATGTGATTACATAGTGTCCTCCAGATGTAACTGTATGTCCACAACGGGGAGAAGGAGCTTGACCTGGAAGCTTTAATTGAGTCCACCCGGGTGCTTCATTCTCTTCCCTCCACAACACATACAAACTATAAGTACATAACCCAGCTATATAAGAAGCCACCGAGACTTACATTTATTAAAGAGGAAAGAAATAATTATAACTAGGGAAAACATAAAATTTGCTCCAAAAAAAATGAAAGGAAACAAAGAACCAACGAGAATTAAGATGCTCCAACACTGTCTAAATCACTCTGCATGTCAAAAATGTAAACTCTCTTGAAACAATAGACGTCGAAATTAAATATTGTGCAAAGACATTCATATCTAATCAAAATTGAGATATAGAAACACAAATGATAGCCTATAGTCAGCAACTGAAGGCACATATTACAGAATGGAGGCCTCTTCAAGCAACCCATCGTAAAACTTGTTCAACTTGTAATCCTTACCCCCATTTATGCTTTTTAAACTATCATTGTCTATCTTCCCCATATTTTTTTTTACACCACTATGTCCTTTATCTATATTTCTAAGGTCACAGGTGAGGCCCTATCTCATCTTGGGCAGTGACATGCAATGTTAGATGAAATGACAATCTTGGGCAGTCTTTTTACCAATGTTGCAATCTCTTAGAGGAAATATGCTTTATCTAAACTAGAAGAGATTGGCAAGTCAGACTGCCAACTTATGGACACACATTCAGATTTGAATACAAGTCTTTCATTTGCAAAACAGGAGCTATTACCTAACCCCAACAAGATTGAAGACTTGTTACGAAACTAAATAATCCCACCATCACTTGAACATCTATCTTTGTAAGTGTGCTCAAACAATTCTACAACCTTCATGTGATTGTAATATTTGGAAACTCTTAAATGAGCACCAAGCCGGGGACTTCTATATGAAAATAGATGTCATACTCTAGTAATTTGCTTTACAAATGCAAACTAGGCTGGAAACAGACATTCTACTTCAGGATATTATGTTCTTATTGGAGGCAAATGATTATCTTAGAAAAGTAAGAAGCAAGACATTGCCAAGTCAAGTGCAAAAGCAAAATATTGAGTCAAACTAATGTGTAAAAAGTTTCATATGGATCAAATTTAAACTTGAATAAAATCAATAAATCTCATAAGAAAGGAGGATTTAGCACCCGACATAAAGCAAAGGAATAATACATAAGAATAACAACTTGCAGCCCGCAACTGAAAACACAACAGCATACATGATAGGATATAAAGATGGTAAAAAATACACACCTTCTTCAATAAGACCCTTCAAGGCCCATAAATCACCCATAATTGGTCCACCTCCTCCTGTTAAATCCAAGAAGAGCACTCATTAACATCTTTATAAAAGACATTACAGCAATTAATATATATGCTCCCTCCATTAATTCACAAATCACAACAGTTATTTATTTACATGTTAGTTGATCAAAGCAATATGATTATTAGTCAGGGAGGGGGGGGGGGACTGTCCCAGAACAGGACACACCCAGCCCAGTGCTTATCAAAACCCCAAACAGACTGTCCCAAAGAAAAGTTCCCCATTCAGAATTTAAGTTTCACATAACATACACATTAATGAAAGACGACTAAACCTCAGAATGAGCTGTGGAGTTTCATATAGGTTTATGACGGTCAGCAATGCAACAGCACAGTACCTTTGAATATAGAAAGAATTAACCAACACCTCAAAGTTAAATTTTATTAGTTTCACTAAGGAAGTTGCATATTTTTAATATAACTTCATGACAGTCATGCTAATCTGAAATTTCATCAATCTTGCTTAGATTCAAACCAAAAAAGAAGTGCCTAATCTTGCTCCTAAATTATTATAATAAAATTACTTGCTCCAAAATTGTAACAAAATAATAGAGGCAGTGATGAAATGTACCTACTTGCGCAAATTGATCATTTGAGGAATTAAGACATGCTCTTTTAACATGAAAATTCACAAAATATAAATAGAAACAACAAATGAGGAACAAAATAAAGAAACAATTACATGATAAAAAAAACTCTTTGACACATGGAAATTGCCAAGAAACAACTGAGTGTATTTTTCTTTTATTTGGATAAAGAGAATGTCACGAAACTAACTCACCCAAAAGTTTAAGTTGCATAGAAAATGCACCATTTATCTTGTACAGAACTTTAACATTTTATTAGAAGAATGAGGACCAACAAGGATTGTAAAGAACCAATTCAAACCAAAACCTTAAGGTGTTGGGTGATGGCCTTTTTAATGGTACATATTATTCTATAATACACCCCCTCACGCAAGAGCCCTTTGAGCTTGAAGCTTGGATATTGTACAAGCCTAATTTTTTGTTTTACTTTGTGTTTATCTAATTCCACTTGAAAGTGGGGAGGGCAGTGAGGATCGAATTTGTGACCTTATGGTCACTGAAGCTCTGATACTATGTAAAGAACCAATTTAACCCAAAACCTTAAGGTGTTGGGTGATGGCCTTTTTAATGATTTATATTATTCTCTAACAAGGATCAAACTCTAGACCACTTGGTCATAGAACTCAGATACCATGTTACGAACCAACTCTACCAAAAGTTTAAGCTATTGTGTGAAAGCAAAAGATAGATTTTTATTATATCTCTTAAAAAAGACTAACATAAAATCATAAAAAATTCAACATCCCAACAAATCAAATGTTAAACAAGGATAATTATTCACTTCACCTCTTCCTCCATAAACAAGCAACCGTTTTTCAACCATTGTCGCAGTGTGCCCACATCTAGGGTGTGGCAATGTCCCAGAAACTGCGAGCTCCGTCCACTCAAGGGATACTAAATGAGGAAGAAGACGATGTTACAACTTGTTTCAACTGCATTAAAGGCAATTGCATTTAAGGAGGTAAGATTTATTATATTTCAAAAGTCTCAGAGGAAAATACTTGTGTCCAAGACATAAACATCAGATAACCACTTTTTTCCATCCCATCCACCACACCTGCATCATATTAAATCAACCTTATTAAATGTTTTAAGTCTAATCCTATTCCAGCTAATTGGGATAAAAAAAGAGTCAAATCAAACGTTATAGGTCTCACATAACAATTTTCCGGTTTCCAATTGCTGCAGCTGCAGCAAAGTCTCGCGGTGAAGGCAAGTCACCAAAGCCAGATAGTTCAGACCATTGCCATATATCTGGAACAGCAACATTTGTTCCAAGGGCCAACAAGCCAAGTAAGCGTTAGTTACAAACACGTCAAGTCTAACATGAACTCAACAAAGATTACACAAAATGCCATACCAGTATCCAAAACCCAAAAGTCCCCCAACCTGTAAAATTCAGACATTGTGATGAGAAGCGCACACACACACATACACAATATATAATATATATATATATATATATATATATATATATATATATATATATATGAAAGTAACAAAACATCAAATGCATAAAAACGAGTGAATACACAAACACAAACCTTTTACTCCCAAAACGGCCCCCAAAAATGAACATGTGACAATCAATGGCAACGGCAACATGGAATGCTCGTGGGCTGGGACCCACATACTCATCTGAACCACTTCCCGTGCACTCTGGTTGAAACCATAGCTTGGCCTCTGCACACACACAAAAAATGAGTGTTAAGTGAATAAAATGCCCAATTAGATCAAAAGCAATAAAAACAAGAAGAAGAAAAAAGGGGTACCAATATCATAGACAGCGATGTCGCTGAGAAACTTCTTATCAACAAGACCCCCGAACACGACAACCTTGGATTTCCCGATATTAACAGCAGAATGACCACTGACAATAATATGAGACAAACTGAGTTAATCAACAACAAAGAAAGAGATATGTTTGTTCGTTAATAACCTGCGAGGTTGGGGAGGAGTTCCAGCGAAATCAGAAGATGTAGCTCGAACCCAGTAATGCATTTTTGGTTCTTGTGTTGTTTCACTCCTTCAATTCACGACTTCTTGATTCAACCGTACAAATTACACAGTAATCGTAAGCTAACCAGGTGTCCAGGATCAAGATCAACCCTGCAACTAAAAAAATCAAAAACAAATGAATTGTTATTTTACCAAACAATTCATCTAGTGAAAGCTTATACTAAGTAATTCTTTTTTTTAACCGTTGATTTCCCTAAATCTAACGGTTATAATTTATTGAGTTATATTTATTAATTTTAATAAATTATAATCGTTAGATTGATGAAAATAAACGGTTAATATTTAGTAGTAACAAATAGTAAGAAAAAAAGTAATAACTATAACCTCTCTCAATTATCCCTTTCATAGGATTTTAAATATAAGTGACGGATTTTTACATGTGAAAAATAAACAAATTATTAAATTATTGTTATATACACACACAAAAAAGAAAGGGATTGTTTTTCTTATGTTACATAAAATAAAATAATTCTCCTACACAAACAAATTTTACATGGGACCCACTTTAATTTTTTTCTCTTTTTTCATTATCTCTCCTCTCTCTTCCTTTTGTGAATGTAAGAACATTGCTCTTATCTTATGCAAAATATGAAAAAAAAAATCCCAAAATGAAAACACGAAATGGCACACTAAATATTGACATGATTATAACGTTTAATATTTTTTTATAAATATAAATTTTTTCAATTCCAACCAGACCGGAACTCGACGAATCAATTATTGGATCGATTCGAGTCAAGTATTAGATCGATTAATGTAGTCAAAATCGAATTTCTATGTAGAAACAAAAGGTAGAAAAATAATTCGTAAAAACGAGATGAAACATACAGTTTTTACTACTTAAAATCAAGATACAAAATTATATACATATGCATGTAAAAAAAAATTCACGTAAGTCACTAGTCAAAATTTAATAAATAACTTCATATTTAAAAAATATAAGTCACATAACTATATAAGATATAAGTCCAAAAACATTAAGATTGAATTTAAAAAAATGGGAAATAGGTTTTTTTTCTTAAAAAAAATTGAGTTTAAGTAAAAACAGTAAAAAAACGTTAAAACTTGCATTTTTACCCATTTCTACTAAGAATCGTTTCTACTTATGTTTTTACACTGTGTTTCTATTGTTTTTACATTTTTAAACTCGTTTTTGACAACAATGGGACCGACCATATATTGGATCCGGTCAAACCCGATGACCCAGTTGGATCATAAAATTTGGCGGGTCATGCCTTTATATATGGGTATGGGTTCATTTTTTCTACTGTTCATGTAGATAAGTTATCTACATTGAGTCCAAAATGACATCATTTTAAGGCAGAAATCAAGGTATTTTTGTAATTATAATTTATTTCAGGGTTATAATAGTCTTTCTTATTATAATTTTTTAATATTTCAACCCAAAATGACATTGATAACTTATCTACATTCATTGTAAAAATATTAAAGTCTTTATATATATATATGGAGTTTACATTTCTGCAGCTGCAGAGTAGTACGTGCAACAATCAAATATTTGCCATATATATACTTGAAAGCAGTGTTGTTAAACCCGACCCGGGCATCGACCCGGTCGGGGTACTGGGTTACTGGGTCATTGGTCGGACCGGTTGACCCGGATATGTATAGATATATAAAAGAATATATATAAATATGAACATATAAATTCAATTATATTCTCCATATCTAAAATGAATTAAATAAGGTTCACTAAATAAGCTAAAAAACATGAAAGATAAATAAATAAAAGTGCATACTATTGTTATCAAAAAAAAGTGCATACTATTACCATGTCAATTTAAATTGTAACTCAGAATTTTCATAAACATACCTCTTAATGACATTGAACTCATATTTTTCAAATTTAACTACATTAAAATGACATACATAACATTCTCTAATTTATTATTCCACAAATTGCATCAGTATTGGAAACTAAGAGGTCATTGTAGAAGAGTATACCAACAAATAAAATTACAAAAAGTTTTTAAAATGAGTTATATATTTTTTTTATAAGATGAAACAATTTTTATTTTATTTTTTTAAAAAAAATGCATGACCCGACCGGGTCGCCGGGTCACCGGGTTTGTCCGGGTTTTGACTGGATTTGACCGGGTCGATGCATGACCGATCCGATGCATAACCCGAACCGGTCTGATGACCAGTTCACCGGGTTCCGGGTCGGGCCGGGTTTTACAACAGTGCTTGAAAGCATTAAATGCAGAGAATCATAACCATTCAAAGGATGAAAGTATTAAATGTGGGAAATCATAACCATGTATCTGTCGTTGTTGTACGTAAAGCGGCTGCATAAATGATTTTACCTATATAAATATATAAGAAAACCAAAAACCAAAGTTGTCTTGTCTTGTAAAAAAAGTGTGAAACTTTTTAAAAAACTTTTTGTAGCTTTATTTACTAACAGTGTACTCTTCTATTAATGACCTCAAATTTTAACTTTTAGGACTGAAATAATTTGTGGTACAATAAATTAAGATAATGTGATATATTAATTATTTAAAAATTCATTTTTGTGGAAAGAGTCGTTGATAAATACCTTATAATTATTAAATATAGTTGGTTGATGATACTTGGTAAAGGAATTATATACAGTTAACTCGTACTTAATTTTTTTCTTTATTTATTTATTTTATATTATATTATATGTGATTATCATATATGATTTTTTTTATCCCTACAAAAATTATACATGTTTGCAGCCCAATATAATAATTTTTTTACATGTAATTGAATATTTTATGAATTTTTGAGAATAAAATATAGTTTTTATGTACTAACCCGAGTCATACAATTTAATTAGTGACTTATTGATTGAATCAGTGACTCAGTACAATAGTCAATCACTGGGTTGGTTTTGATATCATTGATTCCAATCGTTAAATTAAAATTTTTTATTAAGTAAATAAATCTAAGAATCTATTTAATTGGTTAAAAAATAACACAGTGTGAAAAAATATATAATATTTAATTGTTAAAATTTAGAGTAAAGAATGGGTCCTTAACAAAAATTATGAGGCCAATTTTAATCCCTTAAAAATAAAAGTGACTTGTGGTTCCTTTGAAATTTAAAATAGACCAGTTAGTCGAAATTGTGATCCCTTTAAAATTCAAAGAAGACCTACATTAGTCCCTCAAAAAGAATAATATGGATCTATATTGAAGTTTAAAAGAATCATGAATTAATTTTTTTTAAATAATTTAAAAAGGTCTATAATATTTATTGAGGATAAAAAAAAAATTTACTCTAAAATTTAATGAGTATGCCATAGGAGTGTAATTGGGTTAGGTCGACCTATGGGGGCCTATGGCCTAACTATATTAGGCCAGATTTAACCTATTATAAATAGTAAAATAGAACATGCCTAGTCTTTTAAGTAAATATATTTAGAAAATAGGTCATATGCTTTTTTGTACATGTTCGGCCTATACATATTATTTATTTTTAATAAAATAAATAAAATTATTATTTTAATAATTCTGAATAATGTAATAATATTATTTTAGTTATTCTTTTAATTGTTGAATGTTTAATTGGCTTAATCAGGCTAACAGACCTAGCCAAGACTTTTATTTTTTAAATATAAATCAGGTCAAACTTGTAATTTGAAACTCATACAAACTAATAAAACAGGTCAAATCTAATATTTTTTATACAAACCCAAACCTAATCTAATTTATTCGGGAGTGGATCCTCTCAATGTGCTAATTAACATGATCATGTCATGTGGAGCAATCATAACCATACATGAGTGAGTTAATGGTGATAAGGGAGGAAAGAAAAAAAATATAAGGATAAAAAGTTACATAATTATTTTTATTAATTTAATTATTAATAGTTAAGATCTTTTCACATGACACGTGATAATGTTAAATTAGAGAGGATTCATTCCGAATTTATTTACATCCCTAATACGAAACAGGAGTAAAGTAAAGTACAATTTTCTAGACTTAGTTTGTGATACAACTGAGGAGAAGAGTCAGGGAAGTGTGAAGTCCAATGGCATTATAAATAATATTTAATGAACAATAAATGAGTGTCAGCTCAGAAGGTAAAAGAAAAATAATGAAATTCCTTATTTTTAATGTTTGATTATCTTGTTACAATGTTACATATAGATATACTATGATCTATTTATGTTATTTTTTTCAGTAAAAAGATGGCTTTTTGTCTTAGAAGGTAGGTCGGTTGGGGCAATGGATACTGAAAGAAGCTTCCTTTGTTCGTTCCCAGTGGACCCATCAACGTTCTCTTAACCTCTCCACTCTCTGCAACACTCATCATCAAACCACAAAAACTAGGGTTCACTTCCTCCCACCTTTCCTTTTTAATTCACGTACACCTTTTTTTTTTTATCTTTTAAAATTTTATTTCTTTTTCTGTTTTTCACAACTGGGTCCTCTTCCATTTCTCTTAATTTCATGATGTTGATCTTAGTATCATCGAATTTTTTTTGGGATTTTTCCGATGCAGCTGAAATTTAAGAAGCTGGAGTTGGAAGTTTATTCATGATCATGCAAAACTCTGAGATCGATCCACAAGATCAGAGGTATTTTGAATTTACGCTTTAATAAATTTCTGGTTTTGATGTGTTTCCCATCTTTATTATGCTGGCTTCACCGTTGATTTTGTTGTTAAACTTTTTTTTTTATTTTTTTTTTAATTTTCTGATTTTTGGGTTGTAAATGATATTTGATGTCATTGTAGTTTTGTAACAGTGTTATCTAGCTTGCTTACTTCTAGTTTGCTTCTGGTGGTGGATTTTAATAATTTAACATTACTGTATTCCGGTTTCCCTCTTTAATGTTGATTTTATGTTTATCATTTCTTGTATTTTGGTGCCTTTGTTGTGTGATTGATTGTTTTATCATGATGGTTTTTATTTGTGCTGGGAATCAATTAAACCCGGTAGGTAATACTTTTTGGCTTGGTTCTTCGGACATACTTTTATGATTTGTGAACATAGAGTTAAAAATCTATTGGAGTTTTGTGAATCTAACTACCAGATGTCTCCAGATAGACATATCAGGTCTGTGCTTGAAAATAATAATCCTCTAATTCTGTGAACTAGGACCTAGTGGAAGTTCCACTTTTGTTGGCTCGTCCACTAGTTGATTATGTTAGTGATAGATGGGTGAGAATGACCCCTTCCGTGGGACCAATACCTAAAGGTAGTACTGGAACTCTAGGACTGACTGCTTCACACCTATCCTCGTAATTTAGGTTTTGATTCCAATTTTCTGGACACATGTGGTTCCATATTTTAGGATTATTATGTTACAAATCGAGTCCATGAGGAGACCCCGTCTCAAATATCTAGCCCATTAGGTTGGAGAGCAACTTAAGTACCACGTGGAGCTTTCCAATTTATTCATTGTGGGGCATAACACTGCATACTCTGCATCACCAGCCCATGAGGAGAGCTCATCCCAATAGACTAACCTATTGAGTGGGAGAGTCGTATGGCTTAAGTACCTCATTGAGCTTTCATATTTGCTCAATGCACAACATAACATAGTACATGATTTTTTTTTTCTATTTCTGATAGACAAGAGTTTTTAAATTTTTTTAAAAAAACACACAGATGTATGATGGTTTCCTTAACTCATGAAGAAAAGCTATGAATGAGTCCATGTATAAATATATCAAATCAGTTTGAATTTTAGGATATTTTTGTGTATTCTTAAGGAAGAGATACTAAAAATGTGAATATTTTTTTTGGGAGGGGGCCAGGGGGAGCGGGTATGTTGGTTTTTTGTATGTATGAATTCCTCTATTTTCATTTTGTTATTGGAGTTTCTTATTGTTATTTTTCTTTGGCTGGAGGGAGGGGAAGTCGGGGCAAGGTAAGGCAGTGGGAAGAAAGGAAGAAGATAATGATGTTGCCAAGTAGGTCCTCCCTCCATCCAAAATTTGTTAAAATAAATCGAGTGATAGTTGTTCAAGATTTTTGCATTACTTAAGTTCGCATTAATATAATATTAATTTCATTTTTCTTCTTGCTCCTGATCTTTTTTTGAGCCATATTAATTAGATGTGTGTGTCACTTAGGAATACTTCCTGCATGGAGGATTCCACTGCAATGACTATAGAATTTCTGCGGGCAAGGTTACTTTCTGAAAGGTCCATCTCAAGAAGTGCTAGACAGAGAGCTGATGAACTGGCTAAAAAGGCATGTTAAATTTTTGCTAGTTAATGGAGTCAAACTTGTTTGATATTTCTTAATATCCTCTTTATAACTCAATTTTTTTTTCTCAAATATGTGAATCAGGTTATGGAATTGGAGGAACAGCTTAGGATGGTGACTCTTCAGAGGAAGATGGCTGAGAAGGCCACTGCAGATGTTCTTGCCATTTTGGAGAATCAAGGGATAAGTGATGTATCTGAAGAATTTGATTCAGGCTCAGACCTTGAAATTCATTGCGAATCTGGTGTGAGTAATGAGTCTGCAAAAGAGGGCGAGAGGAGACGACATGGGTCAGATGAACTGTCCGGTTCTCACGTGGATTCTTCGCCAGTATCAAGTAGAAGTTTGTGTTGGAAAGGACGTAATGATTCTCCTCATTCTCTTGAGAAGTACAAAACTACTAATTTGAGAAGGCGGAGCAGTTTTTCTTCTATCAGTTCTTCCCCAAAGCATCGCCTAGGAAAGTCATGTCGCAAGATAAGACATAGACAAACCAGGTAAGTCTATAACCTTCCTCTCTCTCTCTCTCTCTCTTTTTTGCCATTTGAGTTACTAGGCTCCACTAATAACAATGTTGTTCTTCTTATTGTTCTTCTCGCTGTGCAAGATAGCTAACACCAAATCCTCTCTTTTCTGGTGTTGGACTTGGTTCCAACTCTTTGGTGTAATGAAGGAGATCATGTGTATTTGAAGTCTAGTATAGAGGCTAATATATGAAAATGGATAAACTAAATAATGGAAAAATGAAATTTATGTGTGGTTATGGATTGACCCTTTTATATCCATTTAAAAAAGTGAGCGAGTTAAAGGACAATTTAGTCTGATGGAACCAGAAAATTATATTAAAGTAAAATAATGGAGACAAGCTCTTTACAAACACTAATTGCAGAAAAATATACCAAAAGACCCCTAGCTCACCCTTAGAACCAACACACCTAGACCTAGGTTCCAAGAGATCCCCAATTCCCCCAAATATTCACTTAATTCATGCCTACCTCACTCCACCCACTCCCCCTCCTTTTATCCTATCCTCTAGGAATATTCTAGAAGAATTCCATAACTGATTAACTAATCCACTCATCACTTTCAGGCTCATCATAGCCTTCATCCTAGATTCAACCCAATTACTAATTCTGTTTGTTGAGTCAATTCTTTTTTAATCTGAACCATTAGTGAAGCCTAGTAAAGCAGAATGATAACATGTACAAACTCTACTTGAATATATGCTTGAGTTTACTGCATATCTCAGTTTGGTTTAACTTGTTCTCAATAGGTAGGGAACATGGTTACTAATTTCATCCGAATTATATTTACTAGCAGAGTCTCTTGCAGGATGGAGGAGGACCTCTGTTCATATTTGTATCATTCTATCCATAACTATTAATCTATATTTTTCACTGCTGGAATGTTTAGATGATTTCAGTTTTAAATGCTGTTAGGTTAAGGGCCTCTGGAGTACTAAGGTTATACCACTTTTGTTGTTTTGCAATAAATTATGATTTAAAAAAACTGTGCATGAACTTCTTGAACACGTGGTAAACTCCATGTTGTTTGAGCACATACATTTAGATATCAGTTTGTCATTTCTTTTGATAAATTTCTTGATGCCTCATTTTCATTTTACACCTTTTTAGGAAGTAAGTCTTTCTAAAAAAATCAATGATGTTTAATGAAAAGTAAGAAGCTGGACAAATACTAATAAGAATCAAGTTTTTCTGCTTTACAATGGAGTGTTTCTGCATATCACTTTTTACAGTCTGGCCCTGTCTGGGTCAACTTCAAGATATGCACACCCCTGGATGTAATTTACATTTGTCTTTCTCTTTGAACTCTTATCTTCCTGATTGCTTGTTAAGTAATAACTAGTTTTTGTGTTTTCCCAGATCAGTAGAGGAGTCCAGAGATAAGTCTGTCAAGATTAACTGCAAAGAAACTGAATTTGCATCCTTTTCTGAAGGATTTCTAAATGGCTCAGATGGTGGGTCTAACATTCCAAGAATAGAATCTAACATTCAGGAAGAAGATGAATCAGAGGCGAAACTAGTGAACAAAAATCATCATGTAGATGAACACGGAAGAGAGAAGGACATCGAAAAGGCACTTGAACACCAAGCCCAACTCATTGACCAGTATGAAGCAATGGAGAAGGATCAAAGAGAATGGGAAGAGAAATATAGAGAGAATAACAGCACAACACCAGTATGCTTCACCTAGACTTATCTTAGTGCTTTTTCATAAAACTTATTGATATTTGGTTTGGTTGTTGCATGTATGGCAGTGGTAGGAAGGCTGAAATGTGATTTTAGGCTACGTGTAGTTCAACTTTAATTTTCAGGACATTGTTTAAATTGCTTCTTCATTATACACAGCTGGTAAGAGTTCTCTTAGGATCTTAGATATTACAAACGAATGACAACTTGAACACAATACAAGAGGTGCATTGGACTTCTTCATTTTTTTATTTTTTTATTTTTTATTTTTTTTTTAACTTTTTTTCAACCGTTTTGTATCTTTCATGTGGGTTCATCTACCACCGACCCCAATTAATTTGGGATAAAGGTGTTGTTGATGTTGATGTTGATGTTGATTTACTTTGCCAGTTGAACATATTACCTGTCAAGGACCAACTCTCCTAAAAGCTAGCAATCTCCCTTTGAGCTTGAAATGTTATCCATCCAGAGGCTTACTCTATCTTGTGCTAAAATTTAACTTTATTTCAAAGAACAGAGATAGGAGGTATCAAACTCTTCACTGCTTGGTGATAAAGTCTTTAATACCATGTCTAGGACATACTCATCTCAAGATTTGTTTTATGTCTTTACATTACCAACAACCTATATAGCTGTGCCGTCATTTAGTGTAAGTGAAGAAACTTAATTGATTGAGTAGCAAATTAGGAAATTGTTTTTCGATCCAAAGATTAAAGTTAGTTCACTTGCATGAATTTGTGAGACCCTTTCTTTTTCAGAAGGGAAGAAGAGAATGAATTGATTGAAACACTTGCATGAAGTTCAGTTTGAGCCAAAATGCATGAGGTGGAGTGTTTGTTACATACTATCAGTTTTTTAATCTATGTTTTCATTGAGATGAACAAATAATAATTTACATTCTCCTGATGGTTCAGCTATTCACTAACCATACAAATTTAGTTTGTGTTATTTTTCTATTAGCTTTGTACATCAAATGATTTTATGATTCAATATACTCTACTGCTTTATGCTCCATTTAAAATCATCTGAAATCTCAGACTTAAGTTTTGGGTCATAAATCATCCAGGATTCGTGTGATCCGGGGAATCACTCAGATATGACTGAGGATAAAGATGAAAGCAAGGTTCAGATTCCATGCTCTGCTAAAGTGGTGACCTCAAATGCTCAAGAGATATTCAAAGCTGAGGCCAGAGATAACGTGCCAAAATCATATGATGATAGGAGAGGTTACAACAATCAGAAGAGCACAACTTTTAGCACTTCTGATATGCTTGGTCAAGAAAATTCACATTCCCCACCGAAGGAAAACCAAAATGAAAGCTCAGTAAACTGCCATTGTCAGTCTACTGATATGAACCATCAAGATCCACGTAGGCATGGCTACCCTGATTCCAAGCCTACTAATTCCTTTCCAAGTGATGTTTATGGTGGTCTGCATCAAAATGATGCTTCAAGAAACAAAAAGGACCTCCATGCCGTAGTTTCTCATGAACAATCTCTTGAGTTCAATGGTGTACTTGAATCACTTAAGCAAGCAAAGATGTCCCTACAACAGGAGCTCAATAGGTTGCCACTAGTAGAGGGTGGGTATACTGGTAAAGCCATTGAACAATCAGCTTCTGTTAGTAAAAGTGAGGATAGATTTGACATTCCTGTTGGATGTTCTGGTCTCTTCAGACTGCCTACAGATTTTTCTGATGAAGCAACTGCAAGATTCAATGTTGATAATTCAAACTTATATCTTGATAGAGGCACAGCTAGAACTTCTGATGCTCAATTTTTAACCAGTACTTACTCTGGCACAAAGTTGAGCTTGTGTGCAGATGATCATTCTCTTGCCACTCGATACTTGGAAAATGGGTCAAGATTTGATTCTCAAAATCCCCCTTTTGATCCTTTCTCGAATGGAGGCCAACCCTCTTCTGGGAAATACATGTATCCCGCGTTTCCCATCTATCCATCCTATCAAAATCCAACATCACAAATGTCATTTGGCGATGAACTTTCAAGACCCTATTCAAGTAGCACAGTTGGTGTTCCTCTTGCATATCGTTTCTCATTTCATGGTGATCATGTGAGGTGAAACATGTACATATATAATTCTACTAGGTTTCTAGCAGCTTCATTGTTAAAGTGATGGTTTTATTGTCATGTACCTTGAAGGTGATTCTCTGTATTCTCTCTCGTTGTGCTGCGGTTGTGAAGAGAATAATTTATGACTATAAATTCTGCTATTCATCCTGTCTGTTCTGCCTTGGTCATTCATTTCCTAGATTTTTCTCAACATTGATAATGTGAAACTTGTTTCGGTGTATTAATCTGGTGTGCAAATTTTAAAGAGAATAAAAATGGTTAAAGCTATTCAATGAAAGTGACCACTTCTGAAAGCAAGTTGCTCGCTTGTCTAAGCTTAATTCAATAATTAAAAAATAATAATTAAAACAATATTAATTTATTATTTAAAATTATTAAAATAATAATTTATTTGTTTTATTTAAAAAAATATATAATATAAGTTGATCCGTTGGTTTTTAGATTTGGTATGTAAAGGACAGCATATTCCTTGTTTTCTAAATAAGTTTATTTTTTTAGGTCTGAATTTGTTCTATTTGATTATATATAATAAATTGAGCTTCACTTAACATAAGTTGAGTTGTAAATCCCAATTAAGTGAGTTGGCTCATTTACACCTTTACAACTAGTCCATTTTTTATAAAACTTGGGGTCTGTTTAATTCTATTCTATTTTTTTCTTCTTAAAATAATTTTGTAGAATAGTTAATAGAATAGATGTTTTTTTGTTATTTTTTGTTTTAAAAGTAAAAATTAAAACACAAAACAAAAATAAATTAGATATGCTCTCTAAATTTGATTTTAAAAATAAAAAGCTTATGATTTTAATTTTTTTTTCATAACAAACTTTATCAAATAAGTTTTTTATTTTGTTTCTAAAAATTAAAAAATTATTTTTTGAAACAGAATTCAAAGAGGCCCTTGTCTTTGGACTTCTGAAATCACAAAATTTCACTGTAGTAAGAGTCACCACGCAAGTTTGAGTACCTAGTCAGCAAGGCGTAGTTTAATAATGGTATTTTGATTCTTCAACAAATTCCCTAATTTAAATATGGGAAATACAAACATTATGTTACGGGAAACTCCTTAGGTAATGTTATAGACACAGACTAAAATGTGGGTTCTCATGTTTAAAAAAAAAAACAGCTACACACAGATCGAAGGATCAGTAGGAATTTGGTTTCTGGTTATGCAACATGATGCTTGATAAACCTTTTACATATACATAGCCTAATTTTTTTGTATTTTTCAATATATATATATATGTGTGTGTGTGTGGGGAATGTTATATTTACAAGTTTTTTTTTGTATTATATTTACAAGCTTTTTGCTTACAAACTACACTAACTATGACCGGTCATACTTAATGTAATTTGTAAAAAAAAGTTTGTAAACAGATCTTTTCTATATATATATATATATATATATATATATATATATATATATATATATATGATTTATTGTTTATTATGTCACTGGATGGTCAAGTCAGTATTAAACTACGTTGTTTTATTTATTTATTTTCTTATATTTATTGATTCACTTTTAAATTTTAACATAATATTAATAAAATGCATATATATATATATATATATATATATATATATATATATATATATATATATAGCCTAACCAATGAACTGAAAGGTTATGTCATGCACAGAAAATCTGCTATCAAAATGCTAATTTCCTCTAAATCATCAAAGGCTCTAAAACCAATTTTTTTTTCAAAGCATGGATCGGGAATCAATGGTGTTTGACATCATAAGAAAAAAAAGTTTTAAACTAAATTTTGGATCATTGATTTATTTATATCTAACAGTTTGTATATATGATAAATTAGAACTGTTAAATATAAACAGGATAATGACTAAAATGGTGAATGTAACTACATCGTGTAAAAAGATTTTGATTCATATATAAGGGATATATTCTTATATCGGTATAAGATTAAAAAATTTAAATTAAATCTTAATCATTGATTTATTTTTATTAAACGGTTCATTGGTAAATCCGTTAAATATAAATAGAATTGATGATATAACTTACATCTTTTAGAAGTACAAAAAAATGTGATTCACCTTTATTTTGTTTTTTTGCTTTACTTTTTTGAGTGTAATACACACTTCTTTTGTATCTATCTTTTTTTAAAAAATCTAAGATTATTTTCTGTAAAATTACACACATTTCCCCCCTTAAATTATTTAATGGGATATGTAGGTCTCATATCACTGCAGATGGAAAAAAGTGCAGGAACACTTATTTTTCTTAGAATACGCGTGCGGATTCTGATTTTTTTTTTTTTTAAGTCAGGATACGACCACGTATCCTAGTATTAAAAATTTGCTGCAACTTTTCTTATCAAGTGAAACGACAATCGAGGAACCTTATTTAATATAACTGATATAAAGTTTTAGTTCATAATAAGTTAAATTAAAAGGATAATGTGATAGTAGTGTGTTTTGTTATCATTCACTTTCACCGTTGCCATCACAATTTATTAACAACCACCATGCCTTCTAGGGTTTCCATTCTCTCTGTCACTGACAATAAAACAGTCACAATTCTCACTTTATTCCACCAACTTTCTCTGATTTACTCTATATCTTCCCCTTCAATAAATAAATAAATAAATAAAAAGCATGGTTCTTTGGTGCAACCATGTCAAACACAGTTAGCTCTGTTCTCTGACCCATTTCTGAAACCAATGGAGGGTGTCTGTTAGTGTTAAATTGGGGGTTCCTTGATTTTTCATCTGGAATCTGAATTTGGGTCTGCATTTATCTAATTGGAAAATTTTGGATTTTTTTTTTCTGCAAAATGATTTCTTCTGGGGTTAACTTGGTGATGACTGTGATTGGGTTTGCGGTGAGCACCATGTTCATTGTTTTCGTCTGCACCAGGCTTATCTGTGCTCGAATTCACTTGAATGCTTCAAGGAGATCCTTTCTTATTGCTTCCAGATCCAATCTCGGCATGGTGAACATTTTTTATTTGTTTATTGAGTTTTCTAGTTAATTTCAAAAATTTGATTATTTGGGTGTGTTTTTTTTTTTTTTTTTTTTCTTATGGTTTAGAATTGGGTTGTTGGGTTGCTATGTTAATTGCTGCAGCTTTTAGTTCTTTATGCTCCATGTAGTGCAATTTTGTGTTGTTCTTCCATTGAATATGTAATTTTATTTGCATTGTATTTATCAATTGGACATTTTCCTGTGTTCAGATGGAGCGGGGTTGCCATGGTCTTGAACGCATAGCTATAGCCAAATTTCCTACAAAGAAGTACAGTGACAAGTTTTTTGCTGCGGCAGAAAATTCTCAGTATGTTCATATCTCCTTTTCTGATTTATTTATTTTTTAATCCAACCTGTCTTTGATGTTAATTAAGTTCATTTTCACATGATCGGTGACTGTGAGCTGGAAAAGTGGGGAGTAAGTAGTACAATTTCTCTTGTTAATTACTATAATATTTCTTGGCAAAAGATTATAATGTAGTCTCTGCCTAATTCAGTATTTAAAAGTTAAAAAATGTGCACTAACTGGAATTTGTAATGAAGATGCTAACCCCGAACATTGTGGGAGAACGCGAATATTGAAAGGCATTTAAGCTAAAGAAAATTGTGCAACTTATAGGGTTTATGTCCATTTTTTTTGTGGCTTCCGATGGCATATCTGTTCCCATGTTCTTTAATTTGAAATTGTGTGTATCTCACCAGAGAAAGCCTTATGAGTTATATTTGACTTATGTCTATTTCCTGCTTCAGTATAAAGTTGAAGTATGATAGGGAGAAGTCCATTATGGATGTGGATTTTACATAATATTCTTTTACCTGTTTGGAGGCCTCTTTGTAGCCATATTACAGAACAGAAGTATTTGTATTTACTATTGGTAAAAGTTTATCAAATCGCAAATTGTGAATGCCCATGCTAATTTTTGAACCATGAATTGTGAATAGCATCGAAAAATAGCTTTGGAATAATTAAAAAAAATAACTTCCCGTTAAACCCGACTAGCAAGTGTGGGTGAAGGCAATCCTTGTAGTAGCCTTATCCTTGCATAATTGCAAAGAGGCTGTTTCCTAGATTCAAACTCATGACCTTTCAGTCATGAAAAAATAACTTTATCACTGCTCCGGTTCGCCCCCTTGAAAAATAGCTTTGGAATATATCATACAAATGATGTATAATGTTCAATGTAATAATTTTAAACTAGGAATTGATAAAACAATTTAACCATAAGTCTCGCTAGAAAATCATGAGTCAAAACTGAGTCACAAAAAATAACTGCACGAGGCCAATGTTTCAGAAGAGTGAAAATTGATAAGGTGCATATAAAGTGAGCAAGTGATTGTTTGAAGCCTCTATTTCAATAGAGTGAAAACAAAGCAATGAAATAACCAAATAGGACGCATAGAATGAGTGAGTAACTGGGTGAAACCCCCATTTTATAAGAATGAAAATAGGGCAATGGAATAATCAATTAATGTTTGTTCAATAGTTCTCCTTTTGTTCTTTTTCATTTAACAATTTAAGCTTATTTGACTTTTCAATTTCTTTTATGAGAATTGATGAAAGAAAAGCAAAAAAGAAAAAAATAAATTAATGAATTGTTGAATCACACAGTTCATATTGATTATACAAAATTGCATCGATTCATGCATGTATTACACGATTTACAGCAATCTCCTATTCATAACATGATACAAATTGTTGGCTTGCTAAATCATATCGAATCATGTGATTCAAACAACTATAAAAAAATTTCTAGTGAAGCTTGTCAAGATTTGGAAAAGTCCTTTGTTTCACAGATCAGAGAAGTATGGAAGAAACACTAGTTTTTGGGTGTGAACACTATCATCTGGTGAATATTCTGTATTCCACTGTCAATTGTTGGCTTGCTAAATCATATCGAATCGTACGATTCTAACTACTATAAAAAAAATTCTAGAAAAGCTTGTCAAGATTTGGAAAAGTCCTATGTTTCACAGAACTGAGAAGTATTGAAGAAACACTAATTTTGGGTATGAACACTATCATCTGGTGAAAATTCTGTAATCCAGTGCCTTTTTTTCCACTGTACTGCTCTCTGAAGTCCCAGATCCAGTGTTCTCTTTTAAATGAGTCAAAACAGATATACTTTAAGCAAATTCCTACTTTCTTTTTATAAATGTGCTTTTTCGTCTCAGAAAAACTGGGAATATTCTTATCCTTCTCCTGAAAGGTGAAAAAGAAACATTAGTGTCCAGGCCAAACACCGTCATCTGGTAAATATTCCCAAATTTGGTTCTTCCATTTACTACTTTGAGAAGTTTGATAGACACTGTCCAAAAAAAAAAAAAAGAGATTGATATACACCCTTATCTCAGATTTAGTTAAATCAGCGCCTGTCTGCTGAAGCATAAGTTTTGATTTAGTCAGTTAACCTGTATAATAGTGTTGCTTTCACAGTTATGCTGAGTCTATAGGGTTACAAATTTGTTCTGTTGTTGGCTAACTTTTGTGAAGTATTTCTCCAGTTGCATGTCATTCTGCAATCTAAGAGGCTTCACAACTTTAAGGTTTTAATTTCTGTATATTTGTTATTGTGATTAACTGATTACAGTTATCGTGAATATTAATTTATGGTTATCTTGTAGTATTTTCAATGAAACACAATTCACTTGTCATCCTTAATCTTTTAAAAATGCCAAAGATTTTTGTATTTCAAATCTCTATTTGGTATTTGGTGGTTTGAAATATTCTGGATATTTTGTATTATTTAATCATGTGCCAATTTGCTCCATTTCAAAACCACTTTACTCTTTTATTTGGATACTTATCCATGTTCTGACTTGACACCAAACATACTAAAAGTGATCTGTTCTATTTTCCAAGTTATGACAAACTTTTTCTTCTGTTTATTGCTGAAGGCTTCTGAAAATTGTATTTAAATTGAGAAATTTTACTGCATGAAACAAAGCTATCACTGTGATGTTTCAGATTTCAGAATGCTTCCTGAGAAAGAATTTAAGTCACTTGACCAATAAAAATGAATGATGGGGGCAACTTAATTCTAAATGATGGCAAGTTCCCCAATTCCAGGTGTATCATTTCCTAGATGCTTATAACCTCAATCTTTTGATATTCTGCTTTTAAGTGAAAGCATGTCTTTTGCATTTCTTCCTTGTGCAGACCTGATATGGTTGCGCTAGTTGGCTTAAAACTAATTCTTGTTAGTGTTTTGATTAGGTTGTGCTATTGTCATCCTGTTTTGTTGATTTGTTGGACTGAGAGTGTAATTTCTTTGTTCTCTGTGCGTGTCTCTGTATATGGGTTGTTTTGTCTTTTTAACTAGAGCAAATTACACTTAACTCTGCTTTAACGAATTTTATCGAATAAAATCTCTTCAAACGTTTTCTAAACACACATACCTCTCCTTCATTACAACCTTCCATACATTATGACAAGAAGGATCTAGATATAACTTAGGCAATCCTCAAGGGAGTTAGTGCAATTTTTGTCTGCCTCGCGCCTAAAATTAATAAAAGAAGGATTATTCCAACTCTGTTCATCTTATTGGAAATTTGGAATTTAGCTTGGGAAACAGCTGAGCCTCCTTGTTTCCTGTAATTCTTAAAGGATACAATATATATGAACTGTGGTTTTTATGTAGGTTATGATGTCAGGAACTTAATTGTGGGGAGTGCCTTAGGTATTGGAGTTTTATCAAATAACCATTGATGCACACTTCTCATTCCGATAATTATTTCCTGATTATGAACATTCAATTTTCTTGTATTTGCAGATGTACAGTCTGCCTCTCAGAGTACCAAGGTGAAGATATACTGCGTATCCTCCCCTATTGTGGACACTCATTCCATGTTACCTGCATAGACTTATGGCTGCAACAGAATTCCACTTGTCCCGTTTGTCGAATATCATTGCGCGAATTTCCTGAGAGAAAGCGATCGATGCAACCCTTGTTCAGTTCCGCTTTACAACCTCATTATGGCATGGAATCCTTTGACACTCATCATTATCACTACATGATGGCTGATAATGGGTTATCATCAAGAACCCCTGAAAACCATGGGGTGAACTCTATACAAGAGGATCATTTTCCATCTGAGGGTGGTGGAGCTGTCGCTAGGGACAATATCACCTGTTTAAGTCAGGGTGATTTCATTAAAGATGAAAGGAAGAAGCATGTAGAGAGCCCATCAAATTTCTAGATTTGATTTCTCTCTTGGAGATTGGAGCTTCAATGTGATACTTTCGAATCACAAATTGAGTAAAGTTCATGTGACAAATCTGAAGTAAAATGCATTAGCATGCTGAAGAATGGTTCATTTCTTTTTATGTATATATAGCAGAGAATTTTCCCCACTCATTAGGCCGCTTTCTTCTCCTTTGTTCTTTTTTTGATCTTCAACACTTGCTATGCTAGTATTTTAGATTTCTCTCTTTCTATATCTCTCTCTCTCTCTCTCTCTCTCTTCCTGGTTGTAATTAGTTGTAAGATTAGAATTAGTTGAAGAATAGCCGGAGCCGCAGTGTGCCTTTGCCCTTGCACAGACCATTGTATTATTGCAGTTCATGTACTGCTATTAATGTATCTTGTATGCTTTTTTGTCCAACAATTTTCTTGTATTTTTTTAATACATCTGGGTTATTCTAGCAAGGTTCCCTCGGTGATTTTTTCCCTTTATTTTTATTTATTATACTTTTGAAGGAATGTGCAATTATTATGGTCCTTAGTTTCTTGTGAAAAGATATGGTAAATATGGGGAATGGATTTATGTGCAATTTAACATGATCAGCCACGTGAGATAATTTTAATTATTCATATAGACAAATCAAAGGTGATGAGATAATTTTAATTATTCATATAGACAAATCAAAGGTGATGAGAGACGAGAGAAAAAAAAGGTGAGGTTAAGGAGTGATGAAAATATATTCGTTGATTTGTTCATAAATGATTAAAATTGTTTCATTGCATAGTTATATTAAATAACATATGAGATAATCTGTATATACATAAGATAATCCATTCCGGCAATTATCTCTGTGTTGTGATTGAGAAAAAGACAGACGAACATAAGGATTCATTGTTTCCGTCACTTTTTTGGGTCCATTTGTCTATTCTCTACAACTTACATGAAAAATTTATATGACTGTATAGTCGAGGCTATTTGAATAAGAAATGAGAACCATATGCGAAAGTGAAATGCCATGGGTAATCCTATACAACTGTGTGTGTTTTTGTATTAAAAATTTTTGGAACTTACATTAGTCATTGAAAGATTACTTAATCGTTGCAAGTTTGACATTGGTTTATAAGATTCATTTTAATTGGGAAACTTTGTTTCAGAAACGTGATTAATTTGATGCCTAATATTTTAATGATTCGAATTTGAATGTCAATGCATGATTGAATTCTATGAAACAAACAGGACGCCTTGCTTACATTTATCATCTTAAAAGGGTTTGTGGAATAATATATATTTAAGGGTTTTTATTAAAATATCTAACTTAAATATAATCTATGTAGCACAACTTTGTCATTACAGTTACAATTTGTTCTGTCACTACTCTCTGGAGAGTTTGTCTCTTTCTTTAGACAATTTTTCATCCGCTAAGCTTAGCTGTTCACTAGTGATGAACTCTTTGCGAGGTTTTGATTGTTTTGCAGAACTTCAGATAAGTTGAATGCAATCATCAGCTTAGGATTATTTCGATTAAAATCCTGGGACTTGAAGTCCAAAATATGTCTTTAAACAATACAGTGTAGAACTATGTAATTTGAGGTGTGAACAATATATAAAATAATCGAGAAGACTTACTAAGTTACACTTTTAATTTTGGTAATTGATTCTATTTATAGATAACAGCTTTGATTTTTTTATTTTATTTTTTTTGGTTTCCTAAGAGTATCCTCCATTTAGTAGGGTATAATCTCTCCTAACAAAGTTTTTTTTTCCATACACATGACTAGAAATCGGTCAGCATGCTTAAAAGATCAAACTATCTATTAATTGTGTTGAGCTTTATTGGTAGCTTTTTTTTATATAGAAAGTAACTTTAATTTATTAGATATGTGAGTCTTTTGATTGATGAGATCTATTTTGACGTTAGGTATGCACATACATATCAAGTGCTTTTAAATATAAATGTTGAATTTATATTTAAAATTCAAGTGGATTAGCGATTCCCTTTTCCTCCAATTTTTTTTAATATGTAAGGTTTCTTTTAAATATAAGAAGATGAGCGTCTCTTAGTCTCTCTTAAGATTTCATTCTTCTTTCACGCATTAGTTTTACAATGGAGTCAAAGAAAGATCAGTGTGCAATAAGATCTTTATCTTGGTTGGGGTGAAATCTCAAGTTACAGGTCAATCTTTATAAAGAATATATAAAATATTAAAAAATTATATAACGCCAATTAGAATCAAATAAAATCAAGTAAATTTTTTAATGATTAAAGCCTAAGATATAACCCGCAAGAGTAGCTCAATTGGCAGCTGAGCTCCCAAGGGATTGCTTGGTGCAGGGATCAAACCATGTCTCAAGCAGTTTCTTGGAAAATCTTTGAGGGCCAGAAACCAAAAATTTTCCGTTGGAGGATTAGTCTCGTCCTTTCTCCGGTTGCGAAGCTTAGTGCACCCATTGTTACAATGAGGGGTTAGCCCAAACGGGCCGTACCCCGAGGGTAGGGATGTCAATATGGGTTTTGACACGCGGGTCGACCCGCGACACGACACGAAAATTCGTGTTCGGGTTGACCCATAAAAAAATTCGTGTCGTGTTCGTGTTGGAAAGAATGACACGCAAAAAATTCGTGTCGTGTTCGTGTTTATGAATTCGTGTTCGTGTCGACCCGTATTATTTTTAATTATTATATTTTTTATTTTTTTATTATTATTTTTTAATTTTTTATTTATTTTCGATCTATTTTTTTAATTTTTTTTGTCAATTACCATTTTGTCCCCTATTTTGCGTGTTATTCGTGTCGTGTCGTGTCAACCCGCAAAAAATTCGTGTCATGTCAGTGTTGAAGATTTTGACACGAATGAAAATTCGTGTCGTGTTCGTGTTGATGAATTTGTGTCGTGTCAAATTCGTGTCGTGTCAACCCATATTGACACCCCTACCCGAGGGCATGGTGCCCGGAGAAGGTTGAATGGGGATACCTCCTGGCAATGTACTATAAAAAAAAAAAAAAAGCCTAAGATATGTACAATTTTCAACCCATCATTTCTTAAAGGAAAACGATAACAAATACCCTTTTAAGATCAATAACAAATATGTTGTTTGTATAAATGTGCTAATTCTATTAAACATTGAAAGTTATGAAAAATGATATTAACACACTTTTTTGAATATTTGTTTAATGCATTCTTATTATCGTTCCACTCATGTTTAATAATTTTTTAAAAATAAAACAAGTGTAGAATGTATTAATAGGATTTCTCTAATAAATACATTGGGTTGGAATGGGGATGATGCCAAAATTGCAAATTATTACTTTATTACACAAATAAATAGGAGGAGTTTGTAAATGCTGGTAAAGTTTGGAGAATAAGTGGTGTACAACTGTACATATGGTAGGAAGAAAATCGTTATCGGTTATCTTCATTTATTGAATGGTAAGTGGCACCATGGGTGACAATTGCTCTGCCCATCACTTCAACCAACAAGAAAAATTAATTCCACAGGAATTGTATTACTTTTATATCAATAATTATTCGAAATTGATTATATATATATGCATTAAATTTGTAAGACATTGTGTGCGTCTTTTAAATTTATTAGTCATACAATGATACAATATTTATATTTTTATGTACTCATCACATGACGGTAACTTTTATGTTTTCTTCAACTATTGCTAGCTCCGCGTCGCAATGGACAATTTTAAGGGCTTATTTGAAACATTTGATAAAGAAGACATGATATGATAATTTATCATATCTTACTTTTATCTCTTATTTGGTGGGTCAATAGGATATGATTAGGTTATCCTATTGTCTCATTTTATCCTATTCAATACATGATTTCTTATTCTATGGGAGGAGCTGGGTTAGGATTCAATAGGATATGATAACAATATTGGATACCCAATATATCCCCACGCTACTCAATATATCTCCACGCTACCCAATATATTTGTATTTATTATATATATATATATTTTTTTTTTCTCCTTCTACATAATTTTATCAGATTGCTAATTAGGTGTTCATCAAATACAGAACATGATATAGGTCTCATATCATATCCTACCTTTATCAACCTCATATTATATCATATCCTATCCTTATCCTATCATGTCCACAAAACGAAACCTAAGAGTCATGGGTCTTGCAACTTACACACCCCACAATAGTTTCACTTCATCGAAATGAACACACAAAGCAATATGCTACACGAGTACTATTATTATGTACATAGAACGCATTCTTCCCAAACTCACGAGTTCTCCTATGTGGCACCCATCAGCTGGTGGGACAAAAGATAATTGATGATTGCAACTATTACGTGACCTTATTAGCTTTTCATGTTCATTGTTATTTATTTTTCACGTTTACTTTTTAATCAATTTTCACTAGTTTGAAGGTGTTAGAAGCTAAAGTGTGAATTATGAAATCCTATATAAATTAGAAATGAATAAAGTGAGGATTATATAAGTGAAGAAAATATATTTACTCTTGATTAAAAGTTTTGGGTCAAAATATAGCGTAAAATTTATCATTTTGGTTTGTCCCTTAAACTATTGATGAAGGTCTCTCCCTTTATCGATTTCCTTGACCACCTAACATGTGTATTAAAGTTAATAGTTTGATTGGATCAAGTACCTAAAGATAAGGATTAGTGCTTGAGGGGGAGTACACTTATAAAATTCAGACTCACACTCTAAGAAAAAATATTGAAATTCAATTACAAGTAACAAAGTCACATATTAATTAACGGAAATTATTTTCTTTTGTTGCTGAAAAAAATTTATCTCATATAAAAAAAATTATATATTACGGGTAGTACATAGTTATAATATTAAAAAATTTATTTTTCTCTTTGCTCAGACATTGTCAGTTGACATGGTGGAGAGAAAAAAATAATTTTACCATTATAACTATATATTACCCGTAGTATATAATTTTTTTTTTGCATGAGATAATTTTTTTCCAACAATATAAGAAAAATGGAACCTATTAATTAAAAATATGTTAACTGATAACTATTTCACTGAAATAATCAATATAACCATTACCTTAAAGTTTTAAGTCAAAAAATAGCATTAAATCCACTATTTTGAATAATCACTTAGTTTACGGATAAAACTCTTCTAATTTTGAACTCCCGTCTAAAAAGTTTGGAAAAATTACCAAAATATTAATAATGTTATTATCCATTTGAATAACATGTAAATATGGTTAATTTAGCCCACTAATTTAGTGATCATAATACCTAATACTTGATTAGTGTGGTCTAATAAAAGTAATATAATTGAATGCATTCTTGGGGAGGGGGCTGAACCTTTAGCCATCACTGTTCCCCCGCACTCCGGATTAGTCTCATAGCCGGCTCAAAGAGTCGAAGCTCGTGGGGATACCGGAGGGAGCCAACTCGTCTCAAAGAGATAATTAGGGTTGGGTAACTCCAAAAAA